ATATATATATATATATATATATATATATATATATGACAGTCGAATCCATTACATTCACTTACGTGCTAATACCCTTGGGAAAGGTATGAATCCTTCTCTTCTCCCTCCAGCTATGGGTAAATAGTAGGACAAGACTGCCTTGGATGGCAACTGGTCTAGGAGAAGGACAACTCTGAATTCAAAAACTGCGGAGGGTCATTTGGGAACCTTGTCGCACTTTGTGCACCAGGTCTCTGTAATCAGCCCTTCAAAAAGTGTGGATGGTCCTGCACGAGACCTTCACCACTATAATCAAATCTCATGTGCTGTTGTCGGGCTGTCGATTTCCTGAGAACTGATCTGCTTGACCCTCATGCGTCGAATTCGACGGGAGTGTCAAGTATATATATATATATATATATATATATATATATATAATTTCAGTGTTTAGGCAGCAAAGGTGCTTTGATTTTGCATCTTTAATACAATTTCTTATGCGATCTAATAATTTCTTTTTCCAATAATAAATTATATAAAAACTACCCGAATGTTCTTTTTATCCGAGCGCTAAATATTTATTCGCTTTCAATGTTGAAATATATTAATTGTTAACAAGAAATAGATTGTTGTATGTATGTATTTATATAATGCTTTCATTTTCAAAACACCGTCAAGATATTGTGACCATGTTCATAGTTGGTATTATTGAGTGTTGTGTCTTTTTGTTTTTATTAATAATGTTTCTCTTTTTTGCATGTAGATGATGCTATTATATTTGTGTTGGTAACAAGTATGTTACGAATATTGTCCGGTAGGTCTCCATGAATATTTAAATGAGATCTAATTGAGCTATGGTCAGAAAGGTGTAGAGTGAGTATTCGTATTAAAAAATGCACACCAGTTGACAATAGCAAAAAAAATTAGATTATTTATTTATTACAAAAAATTTAAAACCTCTAACCTTTTAGTTAAAAATAATAATTCACATCTTAGAACAAAATTAAATAGGACAAATATTATTTACGAATTTAAATGTTCATTAAGGAATTGTATTCCTGATCAATCAAAATTCGTAAATAATTACGTAGGCCACACTACAACATGTTTGACACGCAGACTCACTCTACAACTTTCTGACAATAGCTCAATTAGATTTCATTTAAAAATTCATAATAAAACGTTTCAAGTAATAAAAAAGGTGCATATTAAGAATAAATCCATTAATTCTTTAGGAATTGCTTTGTTTACGTTTCGGAAGCGAGAATCGAAACGATTAAGATGAAGTTAAAGCAAAAAATAAAGCATCACTTGATCAGGACGGGCTTCGTAACCGTGTTGGTTAAAGCCTGTCGGATCTAACGAGGTCTTCCCCTGCAAAGTTCTCCACTGCCTTAACCGGGTCACATGGCACAGTGGATAAAGGCGTTGGTTAGATCCAGTGACAGGACCCAAAGAGTGTGAGTT